AAATTCCAAAGAAATTCAGAGTGAACTTCCACAGGATACCAAGCAAATTCAAGAATGAGTTTGTGAAGGATCTTCATGAGAATTTCGGAACACATTTTAAATAGAAATCTGAAGAAATTCCATAAAAAAATTCTGACAAAAATCTAGCAGAAGATTCAAGAAATTGAATAAAAATCACGATTTGATTTTAAGAAGAAATTTCAAGGGAATTCCAGAAGGAGATAATTTTGGAAGAAATTCCAACACGAATTTTAAACTACATGAATTTGATAACAAAATGAAAGAGAATTCCAGAAGTAATTTAGGGAAAAATACCAGGGCGATCCCAGAAGGATGTTAAAAGTAAATGCCAAAAGAAATTTCAAGGGGATTTTACAAGATATTCCAAAGAATTTGCAGAATGAATTCCAAGGAGATTTGAAAAACAATTAAGAAACAAAAAACCAGGGAATTTAAGGGAATTCTGGGAAAGCCACAAAAATTGAACTTTTCAAGAATTTCAAGAAACTTCAGATATGTTCAAAGATCTTTAGGAAGGGTCTGAGATCATCAGGGCCGTTCCATAAACATCTGATAAATTTAGGGAACTTTATGGAAGTTTCGAAAATTTCAGGCCATTTTTGAGAACTTCGGGCAATTCGACAAACTGTGCAGGACCTTTCCAGATGCTCCAAGAACAATATCCAGAAAACTTTGGGATATGATCTGAACGTCCGAAAAAATGAAAGAAGTTAAATGAAGTTCCAAGAGCTTCAGGAAAATTTAGAAAACATTATAATAGTTCCAATAACATCGGAAAAATTCGAAAAATTTCAACAACTTCTAAGAATTTCATAGAAATTCTAAGAATTTCATTTGAAGATTTTTTTTTCTTCCATGGGCTCTTATGGTTGAGGCAACATAGTTTTGGTATTTTTCGCGTCATTTTCTGGACAATTTGGTGTATACTGTAAAGTGATGGTACTTGACAATCGATTCCAATGTATAACTCATTTTCGCCAAAAATGTTGTTATGCGGCAGCACAGGGCAGTTCCATAGATTTCAGGAAAATTTCGAGAACTTCAGTTCTGTTAAATTCAGGAAAATTGCTGGAACTTTAGTTTAGTTCAGTCAAGCTTAAAAATCTTAGGGTGGACTTCGGGCAGTTCTAAGAAATTTAGGACAGTTACAAGAATATCAGGAAAAACGCGAGTACTTCAGGGAAGTTCCGAGAATTTCAGGTTAGTTCCAAAACAACTTTCTAAAAATTAAAGATCGTCCAGAGAAGATCAGGTAAGTTTGCCGCATAAACCCGAACCGTAACTTGACCTTACCAAAAAAAGGTTAAAAATTGTTTAAAATCCCTGCTAAACTTTAACTGAAATGGTTATAGAACTTTACAATAACGTTTGTGTGATAGAGTTGGAACCTTTTGTATTATGTTTTTTTTTAAGTGGACCTTACAAATAATGGGTTGTTAAGAACCATTACCATTCCAAATTCTTCATACATTTTCGAAAAGAGAACTATATTAGAACCTTTTCACTTATGGTTTGATAACTTTAATGCTAATGGTTATGGTAGTCAGTAAGTAAGTATCGCGAATTGGTTGCCTGTAAATTACTGATTAACAATTCGCGATATATTCCACATAAAGGTGATCGATGTTACAAAACCATCCATGGACCTTAATGACTACCTTAACCATTACCATTAAAGTTCTCAAACCATAAATAAAAAGGTTCTAACATAATTCCATTTCCGAAAATGTATGGAGAAAACAAGAATTTGGAATGGTAATCGTTCTTAACAACCCATTATTTGTAAGGATCACTTCCAAAAAACCATAATACATAAGGTTAAAACTATATCACACAAACGTTCATGTAAAGTTCCATAACCATTTCAGTTAAAGTTTGGCAGGGATTATAAACAATTCTTGACCATTTTTGATGAGGTCAGATAATGGTTCGCATTTATGCGGGTTAGTAAACTTAAGAAAAAAACTCGAAACTTCATAGAATTTCTGAGAAATTCAAGGAAGTGCAGAACACGTCTTGAAGCATGGAGATCTTTAGGGCAGTTTCATTAATTTTAGGGCGTTTTGAGGAATGAAAGGAAATACCGGTGAAGTTTCGTAAACAGACTGAGGGATAATAAAGAATAAGGGAAAATTTCCGGCGCTTCAGGGAAGCTGCGAGAACTTAAAAACTGGAAAAGGGAGACTGTAGGAAATTTTTAGATGTTCTAAGAACTTCAAGGCAATCAAGAGAACTTGCGAAAAATCGGAGAAACTTCAAAGAAGTTCCTTGAACATCAGAGAAGCTAAGTCTGTAGAGCTTTTATGAACAGTTCCAATCCCAAGTAGCCTTGTTGGTTTTATGAGGGTTTTGTAGACCATAATTTAGACTTGTAGCGTGCTTTAAAACCTCGATAAAACTTGCAATGTTACTTGGGATAAATTCAGGATAGGGGAAATTGCTCTAATGTTGGCCTATGGATCTAAGATTGGGCCCATCGCTAAAAATCTGCTATTTATCAAGTTTATCTAAATGAACGCGTCATTGGGACGGTACTTATGGATATTTTTGATCGCTATTGAAAATTTAGTTGATTTTTGAATTTATGTATGGCCCCAAATTAGGGGCATTTACGCCAACATTACATCCATTTCCCCTAGTTCAGACTTTCAGAAAAGTCAAAAGATCTGCAAAGGTTAGTTTCGGTAAATTCAGGTGGGCTTCATGAACTTCAGGAAAATTGTGAGTTCCGGGAATTTCGAGGAAGAGAACTCCCTGAGAAGGTTTGAAAACTTCAGACATAATTTGGAAACTTTACAGAAATCCATAGATTTTCAGGAATGACCAAGAATTTCAGGAGAGTTGCGAGAACTTCAGGCTAACTTTGAGAATAAACGATTTTCGAGAAGCTCAGGGGAAACTACAGAGAACTTCAACACTTTCATTATGTTCAGGGATGTTCCGAGAATTTTAGAGCAGTTTCAACAAATAATTTTAGGAAGCTTCAAGAAGCTCCGAGAAATTATGGAAAAATCCTTGAATTTCATAAATGTTCCAAAGATTACGATCAATAAGGAACGAAAACTTCAGACGGCTCCAGAGAATTTCAAGGAACTTTAGGGAAATTCCACGAGGAAGTTTCGAAAAATTCAGGACATTTCACGAGAACTTCAGGATAGATCAAAGAACTTCAAGGCAGTTCAGCTAACTGTAGGAAACTTATAAAAAGTTCTGAGAAGTTCAGGGACGCTGAGAGAACTTTATTGATGTTCATTTTTCTTCTCTGTACTATGATTTCAAGACCAACAATTGAAATGGCCTTAACTCCATTTTGTAAGCAAACCTTGTAAGGCCATTTTCTCGCGAACCGAAACCTTCATTCGCAAACCTAAACCACAATCGGATAGAGGAGAATTTCCCCTACCTGTTCATTATGTTGGTTTGCCTTTGCGGACTTCGGTTCGCGAGAAAATGGCCTTACAAGGTTTGTTTACTAAATGGAGTTAAGGCCATTTCAATTGTTGGTCTTGATTTATTGAAAAATTTGGCGTGAGTCAAAACTACCGAATTCCAGCACAAACTTGGTTCATTGTCCCTAGCGAACAATTCTAGATAGAGCAGGGAATTAGGGCGTAACAGCTTTTGTAAACAATCACTTCTATCGATGATTTCTAGGAATTCAAGGCACGTAAACGCATACCAACCTAACCATCGGATAGGTGAAGTCTTTCCCTACCCGATGAGGATGTTGGTTTGCGTGGGTGAGCCTTAAATTTCTAGAAATCATCAAGAGAAGTCATTGTTTACAAAAGCTGTTGGGCCCTAATTCCAGCTCTATCTAGAATTATGCGAAGTTTCATGGAATTCGGAAAGGGTAAAGTCAAATTTATTCGTCAGTGGGTGAGAATTGTGAGAAGAATTTCACGTAAATTCTAATCAGAATTGCACAGTAGTTCTAAATTGAACTCCAAGGTAATTCTGAGGGAATTCTATAAATATGTCAATGTGAGTTCTGAGGATAATTCCAACCGAATTCGAAGGAGTATTCCAATCTGTAGAGAGTTTCTAAAAAAATTTGTGCAGAATCTCAAAGAAATTGGAAGTAGTTCGAAGAATATTGGGCAGTCAATTGGAGTTCTGAAGAGCATGCCAACAGAATGGTCAGGAAAAATCTTAGGAGAACTACAAAGAGAGAAGATTTTTCTGGAGGGATTTGAACTCAGTACCCTATTCTGAATATATCACCATATCACATCATATCATATCAAAGGAAAAAAAATAACAATCGAGTTCGATTGAGACCTCAATTTATTCCAATTCGAACTCAAAGGGAGATGCTATTAGCGTATTCAGGATCACTCTCAAAGTATGTATATGATTAATTCTGGGCCATTAAATGGAAGCCCTAGTCGGAAAAGGAGTTCAGACGAGTGAGAAAATGTTAACAGATAGGGGAAATTGATGTAATGTCGGCCTAAGTGCCCCTAATTTGGGTCCATACATAAATTCAGCAATTGGCTAAATTTTCAATAGCGACCAAAAATATCCATTAGTATTGTTCCTAGACGTGTTCATCGAGATAAAATTGATAAATAGCAGATTTTTAGCGATGGGCCCAATCTTAGAGGCCAACATTAGAGCCATTTTCCCTATCATTTGAGTTCAGATTAGTCTCGCATGGTGGCGCACTGTTTTTCAAGATATTTCCTAATCCTAACCCTATAGAAATTTCCCGTCTTCTACTAAATTGTTCAATTAAGTGAGACCTTCCAGATGGTCTTTAATGGAGCTCGGTATTTACTCACTAGATGGTGCAACAATGAAAGTTCATTATGGTATGGCTCTTGTGTGAAGATTTGTCAAATTTGCTTGAGCTTGAGACAAACTTTACTTCTACTTTCTAAAACCTTCAAACTGATCCAACTGCGATCGAGAGATTTGCTCAACTATACATACAAACTACATACATTCGATCCGTGTTCCCCTCAAATAGTACTCACTTCTGTCGCTCCGCCTTGTAGCTGGCGGTCAGCTCGTCGAACAGTTTGGAGTTCATCTCCATGAACGTTTTCAGCACGTTGTAAACGAGGGCCACGATCGTCTGGTTCCAGTGCTCCTTGCTGATCCGGTACAGGGCCGGGAACATGATCGGCATGATGACGGCATTGTTGTCCTCGATCAGCGACATCGCGTACTCATTGTTCCAGAAGTAGAGCGCCCGCTCGGCAACCTACAATTCAAACGAAAAAAAGGATTAACAAATTTCTTCCAATCGCAAAATGGACCCCTGAACACGTACCTGAAAGTGCGGACTCGAAACGCACTTGGAGATCTGCCGGAACAGCGGTTCCTGGATCTTGACGAACTGGGGCGGCTCGATCACGTCCAGGATCTCCTCGATCTCGCCGAGGAACATCACCTCCTTCTGGGAGCAGGTCTTTGGCCAGAACTTGAGCAGCCCGCGCACCACCGGTTCCGTCAGCGAGGCGTCCTTTTCCAGGAACTGGACCACACAGTACGCGAGCTGGGCGTGGTACAGCGATAACACCTTCACCTTGTGTAGCGGTAGCAGCACCTTCACCAGAAACTGCTTGTGTTCCGCTTTCAGCGGCAGGGCGAAGCCGTTGATTATGCTGGAATGAAGGTAGAAGGGATAATTATTACAACTGTGATGAAATGAACATGTTATCGACATAGAAGAAGGACTGTTTTCAATTTCAGACTGCCCCTCTGTTGCCTCCACAATGGGATAAAATTGGCATGTTCGCTGTACGGAGAATAACTGCATCGCTATTGGCAGAGCATTGACGGTCTGATTTATGGACGAACGGAGTACCACAAAAATGAGACTTTAATTAGATTTACCTACCCCCCCGCCGCACCCGTTTCCGTCCTTCGCATTTCTGTTGTTCGCGGGGCCGGAATGCATTCAGCGATATCATAGCAATTGAGCGAAGCCGACGGCATGATGACGACAAACAATAGCCATCGTTTGTATCTACCTACTGCCTAACCACTACTGGCTGGACCTCATTGGGAAGAGAGAAGAGCAGCTGAATTGCAACTTGGGTTGGGCGCAAGCACGGGAATTCATTTATATGCTAAATATGCTGTCGCTTATCATTATAGATCGATGATGGCACTCGGTCGCCGACGACGACGACTGGTCAGTGCAGGAATTGCAGCACGACATATGTAGGTAGACGGCAGAGAATAGGTGTGAATTTGTCGGGAAATTTGCATGCGATCGCTAAACTGGTTGATAGCTGTTGTATGAATGAAGAATGGAAACAGGTGAGAAGTCGATTCCTAATTGGGTCAACCCTCAGTGGCTGTGCATGGATGCAGGGATTATTATCCCGTTGAATTGGGACATCGCTGGGTTGGGCAAGCAACGATTTGACTGTCGGTAAGAAGATTTCAAAGGCCAAGGCTCGAGTACTTTTTTCAAAAGGACCATTGGAACATTTGCGCCATATTGCGAAAAACTAAGGATGTGTTCCATTTGGTTAACGTTCACTTAAATTTGACACATGGAATTTTTTTAAATAAACCTGCTATTCCAGAACACTTATTTATGACAGACAAGGAATCAGTTTTGACAGACAGTTTCTCGATAATCGGTCGACCAATAACAGAGGGATTTTCGAATAGCTTAATTTATTTTCGAAGCTTCAAATTAAAGTGAAAATTTACCAAATGGGACACAGCCTAAGTAGAAGTTCGAAAGACTTTATCTGTTCAACTATGAATAATAATAGTAAACATTCAGCTGGAATGGTAAAACTACAGTTTTTGACGTAGGATTACGTCTTTCGGCAACATGTTGGTGGTGCAATTTCAAAAAACCAAAACCGACCGCGTTACGAAAAGTGGTCAGGTTTTAACCGCTTAAAACTCTGACAACAGTGGATGGACTTTAATTGTGAACAATCCAATCGATTGGAATTATTTCTACGAATCTACTAAAATGAACACTTTTATCAAATTTCAATAGGTCAGTATTGAAAATTACACAAATGTCCAACTGTTGTAATGGTGATCAAAATTATCACCGATTGCCTACAAAAAGCGCTTTCCCTAACACAGCTTTCAAAATCGAATTCCATCCGGTCTCGCCGAACGGTGCTTATTCAATCACTGCTTGTGGTGAGTGATGATGTCCGGTCGTCTTCAGCAGCAGCAGCTGCTTTCGGCGCGTGGCGTTGAACATTGTTCTCCAGTACACAACAAAAGACTGCCCGCAAGCAGCGAGCTGCAGCCCACATGAGCGTCCATTCACCGAAGAAGGAGGAAGAAGCCGCACCACCGCTACTGATCGGATTCAGTTGCTCATCGTGAGCCGCTATTAGCCATCTATTCCTCATCCGTGTTGAACACCATAATAGCTTAGCATTACTCAACCATCGCGACAAAACGGTTCTTTTCAGGACCACCAAAAATTATTGTTTTTTAAGAGTTAATTTTCAATTAAGGTGATTCCTTGTAGCGTCCTTTTTCGCATTACACTTCGCAATTTCACAAGCCAAAATATTAAGGTTTTTGTGAATGCACGTAGCCGAAACTACTACTTGTTGTTAGATCTCGAGTTGTGTGCTCTTGAAATTGCGAACTGTGATAAGAAAAAGGACTCTACAGGGAAACACCTTAACGTTCGCCCACCTTTCGTTATGGCTTCCCTAACACAGTCGCCAAATATTGATACCGAGCACATAATCCTACGTCAAATCTACGGTCGTGTCTTGGATACAACCTCTTACTTTTGTTTTGAGTTACATGCTATAATGAGGAAAAAATCATATACCTCGTTTTGACGAGTTAAGTTGTGCTTCAGACATGTTGCATTGGACGATCTTTCCCATTGATATAATTAAAGAGTGTAACGTTGGACGTTTTGTTCTACATCATCTAGATTCCCTTTCACAGACATCAGAATAGAGTACCTTACACCGGAAAAATGACTGGTGCCTTTACTTATAACCTTGGATTTGGATTGGTTGTCCATGTCCTGCCTTTAAAAAATGAGCACCCATCATTCCAGGAAGATAAAATCAAGCGTAACTATTCAAATCTACGTATTTGCTTTTTTAAACAATCATTTCAATCGACGATTTGTGATAACTGCTAGCTCACTCACAGAAACTAACAACATCGGTTAGTGGGGAAAAAAACTTCCCACCCGATGATGGTGTTTGTTTGCGTGGGTGAGTTAGCTGTTAAGACAAATCGTCGATTAAAGTGATTGTTTACGAAAGCAAATACGTCGAGTTGTATAGTTACGCTTGAAATGTTTGAAGTATCAATCAAACAACCATCAATTGACAATGGACAATTTTTTATCTTAAATAAAATAAAGCAAATTTAAATTGGTGTTTGTGTAGGACATACAACAATAGAAGAGCAATAGTTAACTTCGATTAACTAGATTTGTTTGCATTTGTTACTTAGGACCTTTTGACAAAGCACTTGAGAAAGGCTTTTTTATAGTTTAAAAAACAGTAGTAGACCACTAACAATGAGCTTAAATTGGCTCACTACATGACTAGCCTATTGGTCCCAAGCAAATCGATTAACGTACCCCATTCTAGTCAAAATTCTAGTACTACACTATGTTTGTTTTGATTCGCTATGTTTCCTATGTTTCGAGGGGTGCATCGATTAGCTTGGGACCGAAGATAGTACCAGAACTGAGCCAAAAAGTTGAGCACGTTTCTCCGGAACCTACTAGTCTTAGAGTTACCTGGTTACCTCTATGGACTAGCTTCGTTGAAGGTGGACCGGTACGGTCAGTTCCAATACCTATTCCCGGCAAACGATAGGGCAAGGACTAAGGAGGGGCAAGATGGGTCATCTACTTGGTTTATATATTTTTTCGGTTAATTTTGAATGTTGCAGATCTTTTCAGGGTAAACAAATTTGACTTAGTCAGACCCATATTTGTTCTGGCTGCAATTTTGCTGAAGAAAACATTTTCCTGCCGCTTCGACAGTGTTAGAGCAATTCAAGACCAACAATTGAAATGGCCTTAACTCCAAAAACATTGTAAGGCCATTTTCTCGCGAACCAAAGTCTGCAAAGGCAAACCAACATAATGAACAGGTAGGGCAAATTCTCCTCTACCCGATTGTGAGTTAGGTTTGCGAATGAAGGTTTCGGTTCGCGAGAAAATGGCTTTACAAGGTTTGTTTACAAAATGGAGTTAAGGCCATTTCAATTGTTGGTCTTGAATTCTTCAGTTTTCAGATAGAGTGTTTAAAAAAAAGAGAAGTTTATTCATTCTTTAATTTGAGAATATCCAGTAGAAATAGCGAAACAATTTTGTTGTTGTTGATCAACCTTCTCCGATTTGTGTGAAATTTTGCGTAATTGGGCAATGATTCCCATTTTTGCGAAAATTCGGCCATTTAGATCTTGTTCACGTTTTAAAAATGGCATCCTTGAAATTTTTCAAAATTTGTGGTAAGGAAACGGCAATTTTTGATTGAAATGATGTCGGATACTAAGTTGAAGAGAAAAGTAATGTATTCTGAACAAACGATTTTTTTTTAAATATATTTTAAGTAACAAAAATCAAAACTCAAAAATCTCATAACGTCGATTTGTCATTTGGCGAGGAACTCCTCTTTTTTATCCCACATTTCTATAATAAGTAGTGTAATGTGAGACTTATAGAGCCAATTCTAGCTTACAATTTTGTCGAAGTCTGTGTGTGTGTGTGTATTCAAACTAACCCCCACTGCCCGGCAGTGGTATTATGGAAGAAATTTGCTTACAACAATCCTTGATGTAATAAGTTTATGCAAGTTTAGTCCAGCAGTTAGAAAGCGATAGCTCTACTGCAGATTCAGCAACCCATTTCAGAATGCCTGGTAATTCACGTCCATTCCGAGGTTACATTCACATACAATAAGCCCCGCGTGTAAACACTGCCGTTATCATATGAATAATGGTACTGCAAACACACTTCCAGATTCCGAAATGTGATGTTTCGAAATCTGGCGCGTATTTAGTAATATTTGGAAATATGCATTTATGGGTGCCAATCCAGGGAAATGCAACGAAAATTGGTCTGACTTTAAATGCTAATAAGTTCGCCAATAATCAATGGATTTTGATGATTTGTATGTCAATACATTCAGCAGTTTTATAAGATTTGTGTGGTATGTCACACATTATAAATATGTTAAATGTTTAAATAGCTAAAAATTAAGAAATATGGAAACATTCAAATTTATCATACATTTTCTTCGACCGCAAGGTGCTCACCCCTAACACAGCCATCGCAAAGTTGGTCCCTAACAACACAAGCCGAAGCCGCATAATCATTCAGCGTTGCACGTTGGACGGGTCGACCTCGAACTTGTTTTGTTCTACATCATCTAAATTCCCTTTCACAGACATCAGAATAGAGTACCTAACACCGGAAAAAAATGACTGGTACCTTTACTTTCAACCTTAGATTGGTTGTCCATGCCCTGCCTTTAAAAAATGAACCCCCATCATTACAGACAGATAAAATCAAGCTGCAGCGTGGACATCAGAGCATTTTTTCTATTCATTCACCTACATCAGCTAAATACAGAAAAAAGTAGGTGCATAGAATGATAATCCAAATGCTTAAGTAAGCGAAACT